AGCTTAAGTAAAAAACACAAATCTAAAACAAGTGATAACAGACAATTGATAAGACAATTTATATTTTTATAAAAAATTACCACCCATTATGACTTTATTACATGTTAAAATATAAATACATATTAACATCAAAGTAAATATTAATATCTAAATGAGTACGTATTCTTTTTATTTCTTCATTTTCAGAGTTTAACAAAGCAAAGCCAGACTCTTGGGTAGAGGTCAAATTTCCACTCAGGTGTTTTATCCTGTCTGGGGATGCTTTGCTCTGGTCTGTGTAAGCGTAATTTAGAGGTCAGTAAAAAATTTAGGCATGGTTTATAAATGAAATGTGTTATAACACTCCCACCACCCTTGCGACTTAGCTTATTAATTAGAGGTACTTAATTCTAATTGTCAGTTGCTCAAGTTTCAAACACTTCAGATTTTCCAAGGCCAGGAAAATGCCAAGTTTTCTACTGGACGGTAAATACAATGGAAAGCCACCACACCCGACTGTGCTCAGGAATCACTCCTGGTGGGTTCTGAAACCATATTGGATGCTGGGGATCAAATCTGGGTTGGATGCATGTGAGACAATCACCCTATCCATTGTACTACTCGCCAGTCCTATGTTCTAAGTCTTGATATCCTCCCCAAATCTGTGCATTCAATTACTTTAGATCTCTTTTCATTTTATATCTGCCTGCCTGGTTTTTCTAATCATAATTTTTCCTTCACGTGATTTTTCATCTTCATTAAAGAATAATTTATATATCAAAATTATTCTTACAATTAAGGACAATAAAGGTAGTACAGTGGTTAAGTTGCTTGATTTGCGTTTGCACGAGACGGGCACTAGTGCCACCCTTGACACAACATATGTTCCCCCTGAGCCACAGCTGGAGGGACCCCTGAGCACAGAGCCAGGAGTACACTCAGAACATAGCAGGGTGTGGCTCAAAAGCCAAAAAAAATCATAAAATTTAAAACATAAAAATGAGTGAATATCAATTTCCTTTTCCAAAATCCATGAGATCTCATTTTATCATGAATCTCGATAAAATAAACTTTCAGAAATAAGTCCCTTGTGTCATTGTTTTTACATTAAGTCTCCTTCCTCTTAGAAAATAGCATATAGTTCTTAACACTTTTGCTAATGATATTTATCAACATATTCCATCTAAAATTTATTTTGAAGATCACTTGTTTGTGTAATAAAGTTTTACAGAAGTTTCTCCCAAGAGCTAAACTCATTTTTAAAATTTCCCACTAATAATACTATGCAGATGAACAATGAGCTCAAAAGAGAAACACAGCAATACAAAAATTATCCATTCTTTCTAGGGTTCTGGAGTGAAATTCCTATAAACTTTGTAACACAATGACTTGCCCCTCCACTGCCATAATGTGGAAGATCAGAAAAGCCAATAGAAATGTGAAACATTGTTGGCTTTTGTTTTGTTTTGTTTTGTTTTGTTTTGTTTTGACAGGAGGTGGGATGGAATAGGGAAGGGAGTTGTAGTTGTTGCTGTCATTCTGTGGTAGCGAAATCACAAAGAGTGAGTTTCGAAAAATAATTTAAAATGCTTGAATAGTGTCCACAGAAGCAGACTAGCAAAATAAAGACAGATAGCAATGAATTAATCTAACACCCAGTTCTAACACTTTATAACTATGTTGCCATTACACACTTCTCTACTGTACAGTTCAGGGTATAACTTGATATCGATCACAAAAATATATGCACATATTCAATACCATCTGCTGCATAAGTACAATTTGAAGGGAAGGAATTACCCACCGTGGGATACCAGTAGTAAAAGGTGATTCTAGGGTAACCCTGAAAGGTAAAGAGCACGAATGGTCCAGTCGCTCACCCAGTTATATTTGCCAAAACTCAACTGACACTTTACTCGGTCAAAATATTTATTCAAAAACAGAGTTACAATGCACAATTCTCAAGTGAAGTGGCATCATTAGGACTTATGCATCTTTAAGATAAGTTTTCAACTTGAATTGAAAATCAGCACAGGTTGTGTAAAGAGACTTCTCATTTGCTCTTTTCCTGGCAGTAAAACTGTAAATCTGTAGATAAGAAGACTTTCAATGTAGTCAAATGGGGAATAAAAAATAATTTAATGTTCGCTGTGTGTATATATGGCTAAAAACACATGGGGGGGGGGGAATCAAGCTCTGAAACAAAAGGAAGTCTGCAGAAAGCTCTTAGTAGTTGTTACTACCTAACCAATTTCTTTATTTCCAAACAAATGAGATGTTTCTTGGTCAAGATGTACTGGAGATGTGTTATAATTAGATGTGTCACAATTAGATGTGTCACGATGGTATAGTGATACATATTTTAAGCTGTCCATCTCTGAGAGAAGAAAATGCAACACGATGATTCAGAATCATTTAATGCGCTGTTCTGACAGACATCAAATTCTTAAAGTAAAAGAAAAACCTCTTCATAAAGCAGGAAAGAAGATGAAAATACAGTTAAGCAGCAAAGAATATAATGGAAGATGTTTTGACATTTTCCCACAGAAAATACTTTTTGTAAATTTGTAAACTAGAGCAAATATACTTGAGATTCAGAGAAAAAGCAAAAATAAGTTTCAAAAATAAAATGTTTTCTAATGATATCTAGCAATATGTTGCCAACAATAGTATTGACACAAATAAGAACAAAATTCAAATATGGATAAAAAGAAGCATGACCTTAACTTCAATATTTGTTAGTGTTAAGTAAATCAAAAAAGTCCAAAGCCCTTACAAAGAAACACCAGATATAAATGTTTCAAGACTGAATTTACTGCTACAATTAATGGTTGAGGGTAATTAATACAATTAACCAACATCCTAGGAGAAAATTTTAAGAGCTATAGCTATGCAACCAACTTCCTAATTGCTACAGAGTATTCTCAAATTAAAATTACCTATGGTTAAATTAAGTTAACATAATGAGTTCCAGTTTTGTTACGGTGCCAGAAATCAACCCAAAGGCTTCACACAGTAGGACAAGAACCCAAATTCTGGCCCATATTCCTGGCTCTAAAATTTATGAGAGTATCTTTGTTACTCTTGCATTTGTTTGGGGCTCCATTTTTTGAAAATATATTTTTCAAAACCATTTCACATTCTAGGCATTTTAAAAACAACATCACAACTTGTTTAGTAGAGAAAATCTTGAATTTTCATCGATTCAATGGCTCTTTGCTTGGCTGGCAATGAGGAGATCTACAGATTAAAAAGTTAAAAACGGTCACACTTAAAGTGAAAAATTCCAAATGTTCCCCATTCCAGGTGACTCCCTTTCCCACCGCTCAGAATGGCAGCATAATGCCATGGTACTAAGTGTGAAAACAAGACAACTTGAGGTTCCATGGATGCCCACTATAGTGCCCACTGCCCAGCCTCACAAGGCAGGCCTGAGTCACAGCTAAAAGGTACTTTCCCACAGCCTCAACTCCAAGCTAGGGAAATAAGATCTTCTCAACTGTGTTCTTTATTGAGGGGAAAGAGATCACACCTGTAGTTTGGTGGAGAGGGGCCACTAACGACCACTCTCCAGGAACCATGCAGTACCCAACCTGGAAAAAATAATAATGAAACAACCAGCAGGATGAATGTGTGTGTTTAAATGTCATATGTGTGTATGTACATGAGCAAATGGAAAAAGGAGTTGTGATTTGAAGGAACTGGCTTCTGCCGTTTTGAAGGCTGGCAGGTCTGAAATCTGCAGGGCTCACCAGGATAGATATTCAAGGAAGAGCTGACACTTCCGTCTTGACTCAGATGCGCAGCCTGGAGGCAGAATTTCTTAATCTGGGGACCTTGGTGTTTTAAGGGCTTTGAATCATTAGATGGGCAGATCTGGCATGTTGCTCAGAGAATACTTGCTTTGCATGGGGGAGGCTCTGTGTTGAATGGCTCTGCAAAGCCATTCAGAACAAGTAAACCCTGAGCAGAACCAGTGTGACCCCCAATAACAGGAAAATATTATTATTATTAATTATTATTAAGGACAGAGGGATGACTCAAGGGGTCAAAGTCCATGGTTTACACCTATGGTCCCTTTATGACCTCAGAGTATGTTCCCCAAGCACCCAAATGGGTGTGCACCCCTCCCCCAGCATCACTGGGTGTGGCCCTCCCACAAGTGGAAGAATGGGTGAGGCCCAGGGCCCACCCACATTATTGAGTAACCTTGGTTCCATGGGTCAGCGCTCAGGTTCTATCCCTGTGACCGTTTGTTATTCCCTTGCTATGTTTCTTTGTACCCCCACAAGAGACCATCTGTGTCTGTCCCTCTCCTTTCGGCTAACTTCCCTCAGCATGGTGCTCTCCCACACTAAACTCACACCACTCATGCCAGCAGCCTCCCGCTTTCCAGCCGCTCATAATGGCCACGGAACACCCTGTTCCTAAGTACCCGCAGGCTGGCAACAAGTATCCAAACTGTGTTTTTCCATGGAGACCATGCAGAGTTGGGGATCAACCTGGGATTTGCTAGGACATACTCCTCAAACTGGCTCTCAACCCCTTCTGTCATTCCTCCCAACCATATAGCTACCCCACCTTCAAAGTGAAAAACTAAAAAGACAGAGAAATATCTTCCAATCCCTTGTTGTACCGGTAGCAGAGTGCAGAGAACCCAGGAACCCAGCGCTTCAAAAGGACTTGGAAATGGGAATCACAATGGGATACAGATGCAGGGTGCCCCACACCAGCGGTCACTCCATGGAAGCCACTGCCCACCCCAACAGGGCTTGGGTGAGATTAGAGGCACCCTTGAGCCCGCTGAGGGAGGAACCCCCTGACCCAGCAGAGGGAGGAACCCCAATGGGGTCGGCGGACACCCTGGACCCAGAGAGCTGGCCCCCGCGCGCTCCCACCAAGACAGACAGGCACCTGGTGACTGACCAGTAGGCATGGTGCCTTTATTTTCCAGCAGCTGGTGGGACCTGCTCGTCCTCACTAGTGTCTGTGTCTTTGTCCCCGTCGTCCGAGCCGCTTTCTCAGTCAGAGCTTTGGGTGCGCTGCTGACCATCCTCAGTGCCCCCTGCCCCGTCTTCCTTCCTGCTGTCCGCAGAGGAGCGGGCCTTCTGCTGGGCCAGGTACTGGGCGACGGCGAGGCGGTGCTCTTTCCTGAGGCTCGCGGCCAGCTGGAAATAGTTGTTCTTCTTCCTAGGATCCAGGTCCTTCCACATCTCCCCCAGGATGCAGGCGATCTTGCACATGGGCAGGAGGGGGTTTTCGAAGCTAACCCGATCGCGTTCCGCCCGGCAAAAGAGGAGAAAGGACGAGGGTGGCTTCTTCGGGGCGTCGGGCTCTCGGGGCACGCGGGTGGCCGGGCCGCAGCGGCGTCCAGCTGCTCTGCCCGAGGCCCGGGGGCGGCCCTCGGCGTGCGCCAGGCGCTCGCGTCTTCCAGCGCCCGCCCGGGGGGTCGTCTTGGCGCCGCGGCGCGCGCAGTGCCGGCACTTGCCCTGGCGTTCTCGGACAATCTTATGTAAGTAGAAAAACACTTCCTCCCTCCCTCTGGACTTGAAGACCGATTGGTGGAGAGCCAGGTGGTTTTCAGGGGCTGGCGGGAGGGGTTTTTCTGCGTGATTCCTCATCTCGGCACCCAAGGTGGTTTGTGGCGGGTGAGTGACTCGCTCTGCGGCTCGGGCCTGCGGGGACCGCCCTTACGCGCGCTGGTGAGCAAAGCGCCTTTGTGACATCTGGGGGCACATCAGAGCCGTGACACCCCGCTCACAGGGTTGCCGTGGCTTCCTCGGAAATTTTGACCGGGAAATGTGTCCGTTCCCATGCATGTATTAGGCGTGTTATGCGATTTGGGGAAGGTGGCGCTTGGTCATGTTTTAACCATATGAAATGCTCTGCTAATGAAAAACAGAAAGAAGAAAAGAAAAGAAAAGGAAAGAAAAGAAAAGAAAAGAAAAGAAAAGAAAAGAAAAGAAAAGAAAGTCTTTAACGCATGGGTTTTTTGTTTGTTTGGTTTTACACTGAAGTCAAGTTTTAAAATCTTTGGCACAAGTACTAGAAAGGGTTTTTGTTGTTTCTTTCTTCTTTTCTTTTTCCTCTTCCTTTTGGTGTTGGAATTCCAGGGTGAGCCACACACTCCTGGTTGTGACCCTTCCCATTTTTTTATGTTTTTTTTTTATTGACTCACAGTGAGATAAAGTTACAAAGCTTTCATGTTTGAGTTTTAGTCATACAATGATCTAACACCCATCCCTCCACCAGTGCACTTTCTCCATCACCAATGTCCCCAGTATACCCCCCTTTCCAACCCTCCCCCTGCTTCCATGGCAGACAATTTCCCCAATACTTTATCTCTACTTTTGGGCATTATGGTTTGCAATACAGATACTAAGCGGTTATCACGTTTGGTCCTTTATTTTCAGCACACATCTCCCATCCCGAATGATTCCTTCAACAATGATTGACTTAGTGATCCCTTCTCTGTTCCAACTGCCTTCTCCCCCAGCTCATGAGGCCGGCTTCCAACTATGGAGTATTATTCCTGGCCCTTGTGTCTACTGTGTCAGTCTTTGGTATATCTATTCAATGAAATACTATGCAGCCGTTAGGAAAGATGAAGTCATGAAATTTGCTTATATGTGAATGGGCATGGAGAGTATCATGCTAAGTGAAATGAGTCAGAAAGAGAGGGACAGACATAGAAGGACTGCACTTATTTGTGGAATATAAAATAACATAATATTAGACCCTTCCTATTTTTCAAAAGTTGTATTCACTTGCCCTCATGCATCTGGATGGAGTGCTCGCCTAAATGGCTGTGGGGCCCACCAAGGATCTGGCTCCTATAGTTGTGTGGGGTTGTTTAATGTTGGATGATTGCTAGTTTTTTCCGAAAAATTTTATTTTGTTAAAGCATAGTGAATTACAAAGTTGTTTATTGTTGGGGTTTTGACATACAATGTTCCATCACCAATCCCACCACCAGGGTCAAATTCCTCCACCAGTGTTCCCAGATTCCCTCTCCTACCCATCCACTTAAACCTGCTGTCTTGACAGGCACCTTTTATATTTTATTATTAGTTTGGGTCTCTTGATGTGGTGAATATTCATGTGTTTTCTGGGGAGGGGAGGGGTCTGTACTCTTTTAGCATGCTCCGGATGTGGTGCTGCTGGGATGCTCACATGCTCCCCATGGAGTCACATTCCTGACGCACTGCTCAATATATATGTTTGGCTGCGGTGTTTGCTGGGGATCACAAACCATGGTGCTCATCCACACGTGATTATGACCAGAGAACACTTGCAGTACTAGGCATCTCAGACAGCAGAGCTGTCAGGCATGAACAGCAGACTAGGTCCTAGCAAAAGGACAGCAGGTAGTCTTTGCCTTGCACAAGGCCCACCTGGATTCATCCCTGGCACCCCATATGGTTCCCCCAACCCATTCAGTAGTGATCCCTGAGCACAGAGATAGGAGTAATTCCTAAGCACCATCAGTGTACTCCCCAAAACAAAAACAAAACTACTAAAGTATACCAAGCGTGACATACCCCAAACTAAACCCAGACCAGTCCTGACTATGTAATCACCTTGCTTTTTAAGTACTTTTACCCCTGAAGCAACATTACCCTTCTCATTGAGATCAGAAGCCCACCAGAATTTCCATCTTCTTGAATATTGCACGAGGTATTTAGACGTTTCTAATTTCTTTCTTGGAGACGACCGCTGGACTATAGCTGTTACTGACTGGATTCCACGGGACATCAAAAAAAACGCATGGTCACCCACCTACAAGATGGTCGGACTTCTTTGTCAAGACCCTGAACAAACTGTTTGATGCGCTTCATGTTCCTGGAGTGAGCAGATGCCATTGGGCTACACTAGCACGAGACAGGGTCGAATGAAGATGTTACTGGCACCCGCTCAAGCAAATCTGCGAACAACGGGATGACAAGTGACAATTTCTTTCTCACATGTTTACAAAGTGTTTGAAAATCATTGATATTTTTATTTTCTAACCGTAACTATGAAAACTTATTTAACTTTATAAACATTTACAAATTTACATTATTTTACAGGTAAATTTACTTGATAAGGTTGTAAATTCCTTAATAGAGAGAATGATTTGCTGGGCTTTATTGTGGTCAGGCTCTTATACCTGACCCCATTTTTGGCATACTAGAAAGTCAAATATGTTAAATGTCACTGTCACTTTCCTCTCCTGCATATATCCTTTAGCATGTTTAATAGTCTTTGTGAATTATACATATTAATAGTCTATCCAAACTTTCCCTTTAAGCCAATTTTCAGGAAAATATTCAAGGTATTTACAATTTCAGTACTACTGTTGCTAAATAGGAATGAGACATTCTTTATTGGGGGGGGCACACACCGGCCATGCTCAGGGGTTACTCCTGGCTCTGCATTCAAGGACGCTCAGGGGACCATCTAGGATGCCAGGGTTTGAACCCGGGTTGGCTGCATATAAGGCAAGCGCCCTACCCACTGTACTATGGCTCTGGATCAGAAACGATACTTTCTTCTGAGTTTGTGTGTAACGTGATTAAAAAGGAAGTACCTGAAGTCAGTTTATTAACAATATTGCCTTTCTTTGGGCAAGAATCTTTTGTAAAGCTTGTTAATATTGGCATCTGGGAAATCACTCTCTGACTTAAGTACTTACCTTGCAAAAATGGGGCTGTAATTTTATCCCTGGTGTACCATCCCATGCATTGAATATAATCCTGGGAGCTCTGCTGTTTGTTTTGGGGTCTCATGTAGAGGTTCTTGGGGTTTACTCCTGGCTCTATACTCAGGGATTACTCCTGGCAGGCCAGAAGAACCATGTGGGGCGTGGAAACCAGGTTCACCATACAATGCAATGCCCCACCCATGGTACTATCACTTTGACCCCATTTTTTGGCATACTAGAAAGTCAAATATGTTAAATGTCACTGTCACTTTCCTCCCATTGTTCATCAATTTTGCTCAAGTGGACCCAGTAACATTGTGAGACTTGTTACTGTGTTTGGCATATCGAATACGTCACGGGAAGCTTGCCAGGCTTTGCCATGAGGGCGAGATATTCTCGGTAGCTTGCCGGGCTCTCCGAGAGGGGCGGAGGAATCGAACTCGGGTTGGCCATGTTGGCTGCTTGCAAGGCAAACGCGCTACCCGCTGTGCTATCACTCCAGCCCATGTTAAATGTAAATGATAAAAATTAACAGAATACAGAACTATTAGGAGAAACAGCACTGTGCTATTCATGTGTAAAATTCTTAGCAAATTTTACCTCCCAACTTCTTCAGCAGAGGGCACTCTACCATGAAAAGTAACTGGAAGCCAAGAGACACTACCTTTCCATTATAATATCTCAGATTATGGTTGCAGTTATCAGTGGAAAAGCAAAAGAATGACTTCCCCACCTTCACTCATAGCTATCTGGAACTGCATTGCCCAGGCTACAGCAGTCAACGGGGTCAATATACACATGCCTACTCATAGTTACTCTGTTGCTCATCCTCCACCCTATTATCACCCTACTCAAGCTGCTTTCAGGATGTGTGTGTGGGGAAACAATCCTATTGACACCTGAGAAAGCACTGCAAATTGCTAAAAATGTCAATGCTCTGGCACACAAACCACTTATTTAAAAGTTGATGGTTTTAGAGGAAAAATATAATAGAGATGAAACTGTTATCTGCTGCCAAGTAAGGCTAAGAGTTGAATCCTGCCCTTTCTTCACCTTTTCCAGCCCCATGATATCATTATGTGTGCATTATACTGCACGAGAATTGCTTGGCACCCAAACAGACATTTCAAAAGCACTGGGAATACTAAATGGGAACATAATTTAGTAACTAACAACACAGTTCTGTCATTTATTTCACGATGATTTCTGGGAGGCTACTTTCACACTATTTCCTATATGAATACTCTTTTGTAAGCATTTTCAGCGGTTCTTCATAACAAACAATACAAAATATACTATTTTGGTTATGCTTTGGGACAGGGATTTGGTGTTTGGGATGAAAATATCCCAAATTTAGTGGTGGGAAAGTGTAATGGTGGTGGGATTGGTGTTTGAATATTAAATGTAACCAAATAAGGTTAACTACCTTATAAAATAAAAAAAATTTAAATAATTGAAGGGCATCAACTTAGACAAGCACTAGCAATTTTTTGGACTTTGTGACAATAAAACAAAATACTGACCAAGAAATGAGAGTTGGACAACCATCATAATTCTTGTCTATAATATGCGATGTCTATAATTTTGTCTACAAAACAAAAAGAATAGAGGATACAGAAGGGACCAGTATGACATTAATGGTTGGAAAAGATCACTTTGCACAGGAACTGATTGTTGAAAGTAGGTAAAGGGATATACCTGATAACCTTTCAGTAACTATATTGCAAACCATAATACCCAAAAGTAGAGGGGGAGAAGGAAGAGGAAGAGGAGAAAACAGATGAAGGAAAAGGAGAAGAAGGAGTAGAAGGGAGTGGGGGGGCAGGAGGGTAAATTGGGGATATTGGTGGTGGGAAATGTACACTGGTGAAGAGACGGGTGTAGAAACATTATATAAAAGGAAAAAAGTGGAGGGAGTTCTAAATTCTGTGAATCCAT